CTGAGGCAGGAGACTCGCTTGAGCCCAGGAGTTGGAGGTTGCTGTGAGCATGATGCCATGGCACTCTACCCAGGGGGATAGCTTGAGGCTCCATCTCAAAAAAAGAAAAAAAAAAGAAAAAAGAAAAAAAAAACACTGTCCTGGCTCAGTGCCCATAGTACAGTGGTTAGGGCGCCAGCACATACACCAAGTCTGGCAGGTTCCAGCCTGGCCTGGCCCTGCTAAACAATGAGAACTACAACAACAAATAGCCAGGAGTTGTGGCAGGCACCAGTGGTCCCAGCTACTTGGGGCTGTGGCAAAAGAATAGGTTGAAGCCAAGAGTTTGAGGTTGCTGTGAGCTGTGATGCCACAGCACTCTACCCAGGGCAACAGCTTGAGACTCTGTCTCACAAAAAAAAAAAAAAAAAAACACCCACAGTACCAGAGAGAGCAAACCTTCAAGGTTATGAGCAGGCAGGCACTGAATGAACTCAGAGGCCCTAGTCACTACCCAGGATTTTTCTTTCTTTCTTTTTTTTTTTTGAGACAGAGTCTCACTATGTTGCCCTCAGTAGAATGCCATGGCGTCACAGCTCACTCCAAACTCAAACTCTTGGGCTTAAGCTATTCTCTTTTCCTCGGCCTCCCTCAGCCTCCCAAGTAGCTGGGACTACAGGCATCCACCACAATGCCCAGCTACTTCAAGGAATTTTTGTTTTAAAATATCTAACCTGCCCCAGAGCCTGGTGGACAGTGGTTAGGGCACCAGCACTTCAAATCCAGCCCCGGCCAGCTAAACAGCAACAACTGTGGAAAAAAAAATAGCCAAGCATTGTGACAGGCACCTGTAGTCTCAGCTACTTGGGAGGCCGAGGCAAGAGAATTGCTTAAAAGCCCAGGAGTTGGAGGTTGATGTGAGCTGTGACACTACAGCACTCTACAAAGAACAACACAGTGAGACTCTGTCTCAAAAAAAAATTATCTTGATCATAAACATACATGTTGCCTGTTGCCTCATGTGGTAGGGCAGTGCCAGGGGTGGCTCACAGTTCCTGAGCACTTAGTTTGCCCTCAGCACATGTTCACATGTTAAGGGATCCCCCTTACCACTCCTAGCCCCCATTCCTGAGCCATACCTGACCCAGTCCTATCAGCTGTTTCTCAGCCCCTTTTCTCCCAGGTCCTGACCTGGAAGAATAGGCTGACTGACCTATGGCCAGTTCCTGTGAGTGCAAGTGGCCAGAATCCCAGGAAAACTGCTGGAGTGTAGCTCAGAATAATAATTAATTTCGAATGTTCCACCTCAGGCCAAATCAGTGAACTAAGTAACCTGGGAGGCCTGGCATGGCATGAAAGGCTGGGCCATGGCTCTGGGGGGAGGACACAGGGGACACAGGGCTTGTAGTCAGATATAGAGCAGAGGTCTAGGCTCACCACCAATAGCACAATTGTTACGGCACCAGCCACATACACCAAGGCTAGAGAGTTCGAACCTGGCTTGAGCCAGCTAAACAGCAACAAAAAATAGCTGGGCACTGTGGCAGGCACCTATAGTCCTAGCTACTTGGGAGGCTGAGACAAGAGAATCGATTAAGCCCAAGAATTTGAAGTTGCTGTGAGCTGTGGAGGGTGACATAGTAAGACTGTCTCAAAACCAAAAAGAGCCGAGATCTAAACTAAAGAGCATGACTTTCCTTCCTTCCACCGAGCACAGGGTTCCAGTGAGTAGGGGGTATCTTAGGCAACACTGGATAGCCCCTCGGGTGGCCCCTAACTAGGGACGAGAACCCAGACAGCAGTTACCCTTCTGGACAGGCCCAAGTGGACAAGGGGCCCAGATCTAACAATGATTAACTACCTCGGGCCTTTCTGAAGGCCCTCAGCAGTGCCAACTTGCTGCCAGTCTATTAGACATGTAGGCAGCAGCACCCCTAGATCAACATTCAAGAAAATCCGCAGGCCTCTACATCCAGACCTGAACCCTGGAGACTCAGGGAAGGAAACTCAC